CAGTTTGATAAATATTTTCAATAAACTAATTGCAGCATTTTTTCAGATCCTGATGTTTTTGGGTTTGCTGATTGTAACATATGCGCTTTCTGTTCTTGTGTCACTGACGTTTGAATCACCCTTAATCAGATTAGAAAAACTTATCAGAAGCAAATTTCAGAATAGATGAAGAACTTTACAAATATATTTCAAACATTTATTAACTTTAAATTAGCTAAATAATTATTTATATTTTTTAATGTATCATGCTTGTAAATTGCCTCATTTGTTGAAGAATTGCATAAAATAAAATAAAAAATTAGATCAAATATTTTGTGTGAAAACATGCACATGCTAAAATATGTTACTTCCCTGACCACTCATACTTCTCACACTAAAAATAGGTTGTAGGAATATTTCTACAAATGTTTTACTTAGATTTATAAAAATATTTCAATTTTAGAAAGATTTAGTTTCCTTTTTAAACTCAATACTTTAAATACTTTTATTAGTTTGCCTAACTTGCTCAATTATTTTAAGTAAATGATGAATAAAAATACTCACTCAATACAAAATGATTTCTGAAATTATGAAAATTTTGCATTGTGTCTCATTTTTGAATATTTACAACTGCTACGATATGAATAGATAATGACAAATTTTTGAGTATTAACAACTGTTACAATATCAATTGAGTACTGTTACAATATGAAGATGATATGAGAATGATAAATTTTTAGGTAAATCAGACCTCGATGTAAGGTCACCCTAAGGGACATCACAAAAGTGACCTTATAAACGGGGTGACCTTTTAATCGATTCACTAGCATTTCGTAACTAAGCACATAAATAGTACACATTATGATTTTTTAAAAATGGTAATACAAACGAAAACGATCGGCCATAAATTAAATATTTAAGTCAATAAATTTTAACAGAATTAGCAAAGAATTAAAGAAAGTTAGATTTTTTTAATTTAAAATAAAGCTGCTTACAAATTGCCACAAAGTGTGCATACATACATTACATCTTACTTTATTTAAAATAATCATTTATGCAGGTCTGTCTCGTTTTTGGTTTCATTTTTCGAACAATGTTTTCTAGATTTTGTAATTTCTCAAAATGTTCCACAGCTCCCTCATGGTTTGTAAAGAAATTTCGTATGACATTTATTGCATTGAAGGCTTCCGCTTGGGTTACAGCTACAGTCTCAGGATCACTGTTATTGACATCATTGTCCACAGCTTGTGAAACAATTTCAGAAATTGTAGCTTCAGAAGTGGTGGCAATTTCCTCATCAATCAAATCATATTCAGCCTCTCCTTTAATGGCATGGCCACGATTTTTCAGATCGTCCATCAGAACAGGTAGAGGAATATCGTCTTCTTCTTCGGTTTCGTCATCCCCTATATTCAGAGAACTCACAAAACCAGAATGACGAAAACAATTTGCTATGCATGTGGCGGAGACCATGTTCAAAAATTGTACACATAGAAAATGGCATCCAAGACAGTAACGAGAAACTCCTTTTTTGGTTTATGGCTGTGATAAAGTCCTTCAAGAGGAGCTTACGATAGTTCACTTTCAGGTTTTCAATAACTCCTTGATCCAATGGTTGGAGAACGCTGGTCACATTGGGAGACAAGAAAACAAGCTCAATTGAGGCTAACTCTGGGATGTTGGCATGAGCTGTGCAATTGTCTGCTATGAAAACAACTTCTCGTTTCTTCTTCACAAACTGCCTGTCTGAACGCCGTATTGTTTTCTCCCAAATGGTGACGGTCATCCACGATTTTTTGTTAGCGTCGTAATCCACGGGTAAAGATATCATGTTTTTAAACCAACGTGGCCTTTGGAATTTACCAATAACAAGAAGTCTCAATTTTTCAGAGCCCCTAAAAATACTGCAAGTCTTTCATTGCTTTTTTCGCCACCAACACATTTTTCATTTTTTAACGCTAGAGTTTTTTCAGGTAAGACTCGGAAAAAAAGACAACTTTCGTCGACTTCAAATACATCGCATGGCTTATACCGTTTCAAAATGTCATCTTCTAACACAGATTTCTTCCAGTCAGTCAAAACAGTTTCGTCCACACCTCCAGCTTCACCGCATACTGTCTTGATAGTTAAATGTGAACTGGGGAGTGGAAACTCTCTCCAGGTCCAGGTGTGTTCGTTGGCTGCAATATTTTCCTAGAACTCGAGAGGGTAATAGCCTAAGGAAGTTAAATCGGCTTTTGTTAGAAAAGAGCTGCCCTCACCTCAGATAAAAATGACCTTATAAGCGATAACGATTTTTAAAACTTGACCATATATCCGATGACCTGTAGCGTAGATTTCCAATTCAGTGAGCCGGGACTTTGGAAAAGTGACCTTATATGCGGGGTGACCTTATATCGAGATCTGACCTTATAACTGTTACAGCAATGTAAAAAAGGGTATCTCAAAATTGAGCAAAAATGTATCAAAATAGCAGTTATAGTTGTATTTGAAAACGTATTCATTATTGAGTTTATTGACAGGAAAATTAAAATAATACATTATACATTTTTGAGCAAAATGCATAGTCTCAAAATGTTGTTGAAGGGGAATTATGTGAGAACGATGCGCTTTGGTTGCCTGCAAGATTCAAACCAAGGATCTTCTGGTTTTAAGCTGGATACTGTAACCATCATAGTTGTACACCCCAGTCCACGGAGAGTGAGAAAGCTTTATAAGGTAACCACCACAATGACAACACTTAAGACACAAAATTTTCAGTTTAATAGTTTAAAAAGGGTTGAAATTTTTTTAAAAAAATATTTCAACAGGAAAAAGAATTCAACATGAAGATAAACAAGTACAACTGTAAACAACTTATGAAGACCGATTTTCGTTTATTTAATTGTGTCTTTAACTATCTGATTACCCGCTCTTCAAGCGAGGTGAAAGAAGTAAGCAATCAATATATCAGAACTGAACGACACTACGAAATCCTGCCCAAAACTGAAAGATACATACCAACGCAATTAAAAAAGCAAAAGTGATTTTATTTTTTAAATTTATTATTATATTTTGTCTTTCACAGAGGCCTTGCGTAATTAGATTATGTATAAAATAAGACAAAATTAATGGAGAAATGGTACTAATTCGCTTAAGGAAGCGTAAAAAATCAGCAATCTATTATTAACATCAATAATGCTTAATTAATTTTGTTAATAAGTACTAATTGAAATAAAAAATAAGAAAAAATGTATTTATTTGTTATGGAGAAAATGTACTTATTCGTTATGGGGTATAGTAAAAAGTCGCCATACTATTATTAAATCCAATTGTAAATTGCGGCAAACAAATAAAATTTTACGGTCGTCTTTTAGTATTATTCAAATGAACTACAAGTTCTGCAGATGAATAAACAGCTACGAATTAAAACATAACAACCATTTATTAATTCTAAAGCAACCTAAATTTAGTGATATTTATAAATCTTAATTAATCGAATGCTAAATATCCAGCATAAGACATTTCAACAACGTTGCCATAAGCAAAACTAAAGTACAACAATAAAAATTAAGTGGAAGTATTAGTAGTTACAGTCACGTAATATTAACCATAACAGCATAGATTTTTCATGCTCTTCACGTATTAGCTTCATAACGAAACTATTACCAGGTAAAAGAATGGGAAATCTAAAATCTTCAGTTTTCATCACTATTTACAAGTTTGGTTCTTATTTGCAACAATCCCCTTTCATCTCTAAATGCTTGCATTTTATTAAGAAACTTGTCATCTAGAAATGCTTTTAATTGTATGGATTTGAGAACTTGAATTTCTGCTTCTTCGAATTCTTCTTACCTAAAACTACCTTTTTACTTATTTTCATGTGAAGTGTATTGTATAAAACCTAGAATCCATGACACTACTCTGATGTTTATACTGTAATATGAAAAATGATATAAGAAGAAAAATGACGATATTTCCGTAACTTCAATATTTGCAATTGAAGATACGATTGTTCTTCTTTTCTCTCTAATCACTTCTTCTTTATTGACATCTTCCACTGTGTTATTAGTTGGTCATTCCCGGAATGGAAGATACAGCCAACTGGGGCCCACCCACCACTTTTTGACTGGCACAATTGCTTAGCTGAACAACCTCTACTTGGCCGATCCGTGGGATTCAAGGATCCAGGTATATGTCTCCATGCTTGAACCGGTGTCAGTTTCTTAATTTCTTGAACACGGTTCTGTACGAATACACCCCAAGTGTCTTCTCTTTTCAACCAAGCTAACATTGTGGTGGAGTCTGTCCAAAAATATATATTGTCGGTTTTAAACTCCTTTCAGACCTCAGTGGAAAGACGAGTTGATATTGTGGCACCAAGAAGTTCTGATCTTGCAATTGTTGTCTCTTTCTTCCCACAAGGGGCAATTCTTGTTTTACTTTGTACCAGCTGTGCATAAACATTAGTCCCATAACAAACTCGCAAAAAGACTACTGCCGAACGATGAAACCTGCCATGCAACGCTCCCCTTTGTTACTACTTATTTAGTTTTGTTTGTGTTGTGTCTGTGGATATGTTAAGTGCATATATATAGTCATGTTGTTTAAAATAAAATAATATATGCTAGCCAATGCCTTTTATTCCCACCTATGCACATCTTTACAAATTCATTTAACCATTTTAGAAATTTTTCGCCTGTTTTTTGATCAACTTCAACTTTCGATCAACTTAGAATACTTGTCAAAAATTAAGTAAATATTATATTGAAAGAAAACACAAATAATTAAATTCGAAAAGGATAAAACTTCTTTGAAAAAAACGCGTTAAGTAAATATTATATTCTTATTTAAATATTTAAGTAAGGAAAACCGAAAAAACAAAACAAAATCGTTTTAGTACACTCATGTCCATAAATTAAGGATAATTCAGAATCACACGGAAATCAAACTCTAAAATTAAAACTTCACTTGTAGAATTATCACACACATCCTGAAGAAGAATATTCAAATTTCAGGAAACCACTAGATGACGCTGGTAGTAAGTCACAATGACGAGAGTGTAAGAGAGGGGTATAAAAGGAATGGTGGCAAAGAAGTAAAATTGTTCACAAGCGCTATAAAATCCTTTCAGTGCAATAACCGCATAGTTATGGCACAAATGAAGCATTTGGATGATTTTTTACGTGGCAGAATCATCGGATGACTGGAATGTGGACGTACCCAACTGGAAGTATCCGAGGAACTTGGAATCACCCAGAGTGTCATCTCTAGGCTTTGGCAACGATTCCAAGATGACGGTAATGTGAGTAGATGTTATAGCACAGGTCGCCCCCAAGTTACAACGCCGAATGAAGACCGGTATTTGGCAGTTACTGTTAAAAGAAACAGACGGAGCACCAGCATCAGACCTGTCTCGTCAGCTCTCTTCAGCTACCGGTACGACAGTTTCAAGGCAGACCGTGTACAGACGCTTAGGACACATTGGTCTATATGCTAGTAGGCCTGTCAGATATGTTCCACTTACCGCAACTCACTGTCGCCTGCGATTAGCCTGGAGTAGANTAAGTCAAATTTGTTTGGCTTCTGCTTCTTTCTGTGCCTGAACTTCATTATCCTTAATTTATGGACATGAGTGTATATGACAAATAACAATTACAAAAGAGAAGTTAAAAACAGCGAAACTAGTAAGATTGATTAATAGAACTAAAAGTGTTTCTAAATATCACCTCTAAACCTCTTTCAATATTCACGGGGTCAAACTGGTTTTAATGTTTTCAATCTTGTTTTTCTCCTTAACGACCCGCAAGGTTTTAATAAAGTTTTTTTATCACCTTCATAAACATTAATATGCAAACTTAAATTTGCTTTAAAGTTTGATAAGGATTCTAAAAATTCATGTATGAAGAGCAGGTGTCTTTGAATAAAAACTTGGTATTAAATATTATCTAATCGAAATTACTTGTTTTTACAAATATGAAAGTTAAAGCTGTGAGATTTCGAACATCTTTTTTAAAATTTTATTGAGTTTTCTAGTTTCATAGATTTTTATTAGAATGATAAACTTAATTAATGACGCCCATTACGTAAAACTCAAGTTTTTGCTTTGCTAATTAATAAATCTAATATTATAGGGCTTTACAGTATTTAAAAAATACAAATAATCATGTTACAGAGGCGAAGTAGTCCTAAGTTTATATTTTCGATAGTTTATATTTCCTATTCATAAATTTTTTTCCTCATATTTTTAAAACAGCATCCTAAACTTATCTTTTTACATTAATTAACAGCTTAATCAGAAAAAAAGTTGTTTGAAAGCAGAATTATTTAATTATGACAAAACAATCATTGCTAGCAATCGTTGATTATTAAAATTACATTAATACAAAGTTACTTAAGCAACAAACTTATTTAGACAAACAAACAAAATACTGAGAAAAAAAATGCAATTCTAGTAGTCGAAAAGTAACCTAGTAGTAAATAAAAACCAAGTAGTTAATTGCACTCCAAGGATATAAGATTAAATATTTAAATTTTAAGCTCATTATATTCTAAAATTTGATCGTATCAGGTTAATCTAATATATATAATTCTCTTACGTGGCTCCCAAATTTTGGCTGTATTTCTTTTCCGCCGGTGGCAACAGTTTTCATTTTTAATTGATAGGCTACGGCGCGCAAGAGCACGTAGTGAGCATCATATGTCTAATCGGGTGAATTCTCACCGAATAATCAAAAAAATTCTCACAAAATTATCTTCATCGAAGCCGATACTTTACATCCGGAGTTCAATACCATTTCATATTGTTTTACAACACATGGTTTTAGCCCTCTGGTGGGAAAGACTTTAAAA